AAAGTGGTAAATTCTATAAAGGTACATTTTTGAAATTTTTATCAAATTTGTTGAATGTTCAAAACCTTCCCTGGGGTCATGTGAGGTCCCACACAAAATTTGGCCCCGATCGGTTCAGCCGTTTTGACTTTTATAGGACACAAACAGACAGACAAGCAAAGTATATAGATAGATAGATAGATAGATAGATAGAAGTGAAAACTTAAAATTAGACTTATCTCAAACTTATTCCTTTTTTTGTTTCAAGGAAATTTCCTGCAAGCATTTCTTTTTAGCAATCATCAAATATCGTTAATATACAAAAAATTTCTGAAAAATGTTTGAATGAATCTGTTGAGAGTAACTTGATGGACTACACCGTGGCTGCCTCCTTCTATTTTGGTGCCGGCTTTGATACTACTGCTGATCTTATACTTAACGAACGAACATTGGAGGTAACCATCTCAGTCTAGGCATTCATGACGTCATTCCTGGAATAGTTTTTGTTGTAGCTTTATCTTGAAGCATTATCTTTTTGCACGATCCCTACTAACAGTAAAACCTAAACATATGTATGACGAATACATAAAAATTTGTAATTTCCATACATATGACATACATATTTTCGTAACCATTTCCTTGGTAAAAATACGTATTTTATATCCGTAAAAATACGTTTATGACAAACGTAATAATGCGTATGCAGGCACATTGTTCCTTTATATCCATACAACCAATTCCACAAATTTCTTAAATCCATGTTCATATCAATTAATTTCAATCCAATCCAATATTCTTCTACACAAATTCACTCTATTATCATTCCCTCATCTGCACCCATTAAATCAACATTCATATATGCATTTTGTCTGTATCTTCAACACTACATGTTCAATATCTGTTATACTTTATTCACTTACCATTGTACCTGATGCAAGACTGCTAAGTGTAATTCTTCTATTTATCAAAAAATCGAGATTTACTGACATTGATTCTAATGAAAACATCAATTAACTCCAAAATGGTAGAAATTTTGAAACATTGAACTGAACTTATCAACATAGTTGCATTGAATTTCTTACATCCTTTTGAAAAAATCATTAAATGTTTTTAAATTCTAGCTTAAAATGCGTTTTTGTGCAGTTGGGGTTTCGTGAATATATTGACACTAACTTTGCATACAATTTACAAACATATCCGTAGTTTTAGGTTTTCATCAAGCTTTTCAACTCAAAATACAATTTTTCAAGTAAAGAAAGAAAGAAACCGAAAAAAACGTGAAGCATTTGTTTTGAATTTTACAAAATATGTGTATTTTTAGGTTTTCATCAAACTTTTAAGCTTCAAAAAAAAATTTTTTAAGAAAAGAAAAAAACGAAAAAACTCATAAAAAAAAACAGATAAGCTTGAAAAAAATAATTGGTTTGAAATTTACGAAAAAATATGTATTCTTAGGTTGCATCAAACTTTTAAACTTAAATAAAATACAATTTTTTAAGTAACCAAAAAAACGAAAAAATACGTAATAGTACGTCAAATAAAACCATAATAAAAAATATTTGGTTTTAAATTTACAAAAAAAGTACATATTTTTAAGTTTGCATCAAACTTATAAACTGTAAATAAAATACAATTTTTTTAGTAATGAAAAACGAAAAAATACATAGAAATACGTAAATAAAGACCTTAAAAATTAGAAAAACTACTTGGTATACGTAATTATTTGTAAAAATACATTTCTGGAAAACCTAAGCATTGAAAAAAAAACTCTTGGTATACGTAAGTTCTTTACCAAAAAGTTGAGCATACAAACTTTTACGTATATACACCTAATGATACATATACCTATATAAAGGCTTTATTATTTTTAGGTTTTCGGGGTAGTAGGGTTACAAAAGGTCAAGTAAGGTCAACACAAAATTTAGGCAGAAGCTGTTCATTGAGAAATATATTGCAGGACAAATTTGCATAAGAAATTTAAAAGGGTTAAGAAGAGGATTTTGCACTTAAGATTCTGAGGAAGTAAAAATTGCTAGTCTTGGTATATTTGTCAGATATATTTATAGAAAAAGGAACTTTGAATACGTTTAGTTGATTGCTCCCTACTTAATTGTTCCAATGACAGATATTTTTTCCATTCCAGGAATCATTGGGAGATAAAGAGACTCTGTACCTTTGGATGTATCTTTGGGGATATGCAATTGGGTTCGCCGGACCCTTTTTTATTGGGCTAGGTAGGTAGGTGATCAGTAGGATAATAGATAATCAGGTTTTAAATTTTGCTTCGCGTCCCTAATTAATACGAACCTTGAATTTTAGTTTTATTTTAAACCTCAGCAAAATTTCTTTGGATGTTCATGAGCATGAACTTCATTAATTGCTGATTTTTTTGTGAACTTTATCATTTTTTTAAAGATCTAGATATTTATTTTGTAGCAGAGATTAAGATATTACAATTGTATTACAAGTTTACAACTTTCATAAATGGAAAAACTACATTATTTATTTTCTATATAAATGATTCATATGATAGACACAGATTAGACTTTGAATGCCAGTGCAATATTTCGCAGCTGACTCCCTCGTCATCAATTGCTGAGAAACAACAGAACTTCCTGTAGTTATTAACCAACTGATATTTAATTTGGTTGTCTACTTTTTCATATGCTCTCATTGCGTTGTGTCTAACTGGGCAAACTGTACAATCTTTTTCTTCACAGAAAGTAAAAACTGGGTTTGCAATGTTTACATGTGGTTTTAGTTCGATTTCAAGTTCAGTTTCAGATTCTGGACCAGCTTCAGTCTCAAGTTCAGGTTCAGGCGCAGACTCAGTCTCAGGTTCAGGTTTAGGCACACACTCAGCCTCAGGTTCAGGTTCAGGTGCAGACTCAGTCTCAGGTTCAGGTTCAGGCTGGGGACTGCACTTCCTTCAGGGGAGACTGCACTTCTTGCTGGGGTAGTCTCACTTCCTTTAGAGTTGACATCACACCTCTGTTTCTTCTCCTTCTCCTGTTGACGGGTCGAGAAACTCTAGAAAATGAGAAAAATTCTTCTCCATCTTTAGTCCACAGGTTAAACTTGATATCCAGTTCTAGATCCACTCCTTCCCTATACAACTCCAAGAGTTTATGTGTAATTCTCATTTTTTATGTTTTAAACTCCTCGTCCTAGCAACAGCTAGCTGGGTCAGCTGGTATCAGGCTAGGAGAGTGAGAGTCACAGAGATGTGTTGTTGCTAGCAGGGTTAGGGGGAGACTGAGCAGGGTTAGGGGGAGACTGAGCAGGGTTAACCCTGTGAACTTTATCATAATAATTAAAATTATGCCTAACTAACGCCAACCAAGTCAGACTTACAGACAAACATGGCAAACATTCAACGACACTAAAAACCTACCTATCTACTGTTGATGCAGACCAATGTTAATAGTTTTATGTATGAAAATGTTTTAGAATCTCCCTACCAGGATTGTGGTAGTACAGATCTATTGCATTCACTGGCAAACCATAATCTAACCCTGGAGCATACAATCACACTCTCACAGACACAGCTTTTCCTCCTTACTAGATCCTTCAGGTAACTATCCAATACTGATGCTTGACTTTACAAGTATAACTCCGACATCAAACTATTTTTCTCTCTTTCTATATAAATATAAAAATTGATCTGCGTTTGTCTATCTGTTTGTTTGTATGTCGGATCATAACTCATAAACCCCTGGACCGATTTGTTATGATTATTATTAATATTATTGGGGAACATATAGTAGTACCACGGAAATGTTCTAAGCTTGGGCTAAAAATTCTAAGTTGACCGGTCTAACTTTTAAAGAGAAAGTTTGGTTTCCCTAGGCTGATTCTTGGGTCACAAACAGTTGTTTTCAAGGTCAATTACATAAAAAAGGCAATTCAAAGTAAAGTTTAAATAAGTGACGAGTAATATAATAAAAGATTTGATTTTTTTATTCATAGCAAATTTCTAATAAAACGACTTTATGATAAGATCCATCTTCAAAAGGGTTGTTCTGAATATTATGTCTTCCAAATTATTGCATTAAAACAACATTGAGGCAACTTTTAATCAATTCTTTGAAACTTAAAATACCAGAATCTTAATTCAAAAAAATAAATGGAATGTAAATGTGTCCCGTCAAAAGACCTTTGATGAAGAAAACATATTTTTAGGCTCGAAGCGGATAAAAGATTGTTTTGTATTCTATCTAAGACAGACAGGGATGCTTGCTTATGCTTAATAAAAATTATAAAAAGAAATCTTGAAAATTTGGCAAATGGATATTGTCTGTCATTTGTAGGCAAGCTTATTCAAACGGATGATACATTATAACCCAAGCGGACACTGGTAAGTGGCTAGAGCTCGACCCTGGAGATCAACGTAATATTGCCTATAAAACATGATACTTTGACTGAGGTTGATTGGTAAAAATAATAATTATAATAGCTAGTTACCAATCAAAAGACACTAGCATTAGTCCACTAGGCCTGTTGCCTTGTATCTTAAGCAATTATAAGAGTATTTTTAGTGCTCAATTATCTATTAAAATAGTGCTTGTGAATAAGAAAATGGCACAAATAACTAATTTTTAACTAATTAAGCTGTAGGATATTATTAGATCTTTTTTTTGTTTAATTTTTTATGTTTTTTGAGTTGTAAAGCATAGTCCAGGTTCCCTGAGGCAACACTTGTGAATTCAAGAATAGAGGAGATAGTGGATTTAGTTCTCCTCTACAATACAATTCAATCTAAAATTGAGTCAGAAGGTAGAAATTAGATGAAAAAGGTTGATATTTGAAGAAAACTCCTGACCCAAACAATTTCATGAGGACTGGTGTAAAATAACAACTTAAATCCAGATCCAAATGGCAAAATATAAACAAAAATAAAGCTCCTTAAATTTTCTTGAAACGAAAATTTAGGTTTTGACCACCGATTCTGCTTGTACTCAAGTATACCTATTTTAGCTCTATTAATAATGTTGACTGTTTAGTGGATTTTGAAGCTGAAGTAAGTATTGAGGACGAACAGTTGACTGAATTGTCAACTTCTATCCAGGAATGTGATGACCGGATGATTGAACTTTGGGATAGTCTAGAAAGCAAGGTTGGTTCTTTCTCAGGGTTAGATATTTTTCAACATGATTTCCTCACCTGAAACGGTCAAGTTAAATGTAATTTTTTTATTGTATTTTATTGTGCAGGTAGTAGCTGCATATGAGTATGCATATGCATCTAGAGTGAACCATAACCTTATAAAGGTAATAACATTGATGCATCTTACTTTTCTGTGATAAAATCCAAACCACAAAACAAAAGTTAAATTAAGTCTAAAAGCTGATTAACTTTTTAAAGGTTGTGATTGGTATACCTAATATTATTGGGATGGTAGCTGGTGCTCTAGGTGTCATTGGTAAGAACACTTTTTTCTTATTTTTCCTTCAATAATTTGATTCTGAAGAAGAAGAAAAGTCGCAATAATCCCAAAGTTTTCAAAGCTAATTAAACTTCTATTAACGTTTTTAATGTCCTGTTAGTTGTCCTATTTGCAGAGTGGCCAAAATGTACGGATTGATTTTTTTAACCCTAAAATTGTAGGGATTGTACGGATTGTACGGATTTGTTTTGAAATTGTACGGATTGTACGGATTTTTATCCTGGAAAATACACCGTTTTTTTAAATTTTCACTCATTTCAGCAAATTTTTCATGAAAAAAAAAAAATCTCGTCAAAATGAAGTTAGTTTAACTTATTTCTGCATTCTAAATAATATTAGATTGATTAATGTTTCAATTGACAATCAAAATTTATTCATAATTTGTATCCAGTATCCTGTACCCAGAATCCTGTACCCAGTATCATGTACCCAGTATCATGTACCTAGTATCATGTACCCGGTATCCAGTACCCAGTATCCTGTACCCTTATCATGTACCCAGTATCCAGTATCCTATATCCTATATCCTGTACCCAGTATCTTGTACCCAGTATCATGTACCCAGTATATAGTACCCAGTATCTTGTATCCTGTATCCTGTATCCTGTATCCAGTATCCAGTATCCAGTATCCAGTATCCAGTATTCAGTATCCTGTATCCTATATCCAGTATCTTGCATCCAGTATCTTGTGTCCTGTATCCTGTATCCTGTATCCTGTATCCAGTATCCTATATCCAGTATCCGGTATCCTGTATCCTGTATCCAGTATCCTGTATCCAGTATCCAGTATCCTGTATCCTGTATCATGTACCCTGTATCATGTATCCAGTATCCAGTATCATGCACCTAGTATCATGTACCCAGTATTTAGTTTGTATATATGTATGAAGCCAATTTTTTACAGATTGATTCTTACATGAACTGAACACAAAATACAATGAATGAAAAATTGAATGTTTTTTTTTCAAAAATGGGATTTTTTTCGAAAATTGTACTGATTGTACAGATTTTTAAAAAAAATGTACGGATTGGTTTAAAAAAATGTACGGATTGTACGGATTTTTAAAAAAAAATTGTACGGATTGTACGGATTGTTTTTCGAAAATTGTACGGATTGTACGGATTTCTTCTGAAAATGTACGGATTTTTGTACGGATGTGTTCAAAAAAGTTTTGGCCACCCTGTATTTGTTTCATTTATAAATTAAGCTTTTCTATTATTGTGTTTTCTGTACCAGAAAGTCGAGTTGAATCACAACTAAAATTTTTGGATTTAAGACTGAAACACATAAAAATTAATAATATTTTATGATCAGCTGATGCCTTTTTACTTGAAATCCATTGGTCTGATCTTCGAACTTAGACCAATAAGAGCCAGGTTTAAGAAAGGATTTGAGTTAAACTTATTGAATGGTAAGAACGGTTGTAACACACTTCCGTCATTTTAAAGATTTTCATGTATTGTTTTTAAATGAGATATTAGAGAAAACTTGTAGAGCTTGTTTAGAAAGCAAGGATTATTCAACACTACCTCTACTAGCAGATATACCAGCTGTACTTTGGGAAAATATCAGGCAGTTCATTTTTCAGGCATATTTTCATAAGGAGTTATCGTTGATAAATCTTGATCCTCCATACCAGTCTTCTGCTTTTAATTGTAAATAATGTTAAGTTAAAAATTCAGTAGAATTGGTTCTCGTGAAACCAGAAACATCAATATCAAAAAAAATATCAATTCTGATAGTGAATTTGAAAACTATGAAACTGATATTCCTTTTCCTAAGCTCAGAAGAGCACACAATAGATTTATGATTTGATTTGATTTTAAAGGAAAGAATTCTTTTTCCAATTTCTACCATTTTAACAACACAGGTTTATCCCTGGTTTTTTGGACTATGAATACAAAAAATAAGCTTAACGTTTTTAGAGTTTCTTGTAAACTTAGTTGAGTTTTTAATATTATACCTTTATCAAACAAAACTATCCAATTTATTAAACAAAGTGGTAAATTCTAAATATGTATTTTGTATTGTACATTGTTTTCAAAAAATTAACAACGAACAATTCCTTGAAAAGATATTTGAAATGGAATTTATAATTTTTTGTAAACTCTGAAAATATTTTCGAGTAGGGGAGACCATCTAATGATTTCTTTGTGAGTGAAGCTTTGTCAATAAATGGGCATTTTTCTTGGGGATATGGATATACTGCTCCGTACTTCCTTGCGCTGGTCAACCCAGAACCTGGCTGCGGGGTCATTGAGTTCTTGGACATTTCCAGGTAGAAACAAAATAAACGCTCAGACTAAGCTGAAGGTACTGTAGACGGTTTTTTTAAAGACCAAGCAATTATTTAGTGGCATGTCTGATTCCTTTTAAACCTTTCTCTGGTCAAGGATAGAGAAATATCTTTATTTGCATAAATGCATTGTGTATTCTCTTGAATGTTATAGGGTACTGTTGTCTCTGTAGAATGAAGAACCGCCTGAAATTACGTCTACAGAGCTGAAAACTTGAGAATGGTGGATATAGAGATCAATTTTTGATCTCCTCTTTATCTTAATCTCCAGATTAAATAATGTTTGTTCTACTCTTGTTATTAAATCAGATTAATTAACCGATCAGCATTAAGGATATCCCATTCTAAAGTTTTCAGCTCACACCTTTATACTTCTCAGCTTTTTATTTCCTTTTTTAGACAAATCAAAGAATTTTTTCCAGTGAATTTTCAGAAGTTACAGCGAGTTCAGGAACTTTACAAAAACCTTCGGATCTGGCCGAGATATTGTTTCAGGCAAACTTTTTAAACATTTTCGAGCAAAATAAAGTTTTTGATAATTATTGAACATTTTTACAGATTGTAAATTTATTTGCTAGGAAGCGCAATGTTATCAGTTAACACTGTTCCCAGCTTTTCTTCTTATAGGTACGTAGTACAGTTATTAGACAGTAACATCTCTCAAAGTATCAAGCGAAAGATAATAATGCTGTGAACGTTACAAAAAAAAATATGACAAAGGCTCTTTTAAAAATGTTGTTTTTAAAAGTAGTTCTGCTTCACTTAGCATTTTGTCAGATAATCTCAATAAAAATTTGGCTTGGCAACTCAGATTTACCCAAGAAACGAAATTCATCTTAAGATGCTAATTTAGATCTTCAAATACTGATTTTCAGATTGAAAAGATTTGGTCGAGAGCTGAAAACTGCTCTGCATTGTTTGTTGAGTAGGAAAGAAGAACCAGCATATGAGCTTCTCTTCATTATAGGTTAGAGAAATTGAAATTTATTTAATCATAGAAGCTGATATCCTGAAATAAATGATTCGATGTGATTCGATGTGATTTGATGTGATTTGATGTGATTTGATGTGATTTGATGTGATTTGATGTGATTTGTTGTGATTTTATTTGGTCTGATCTGAAATCGGAACTCATATTTTTTGAATCTTTGAATCAGGAAGTCCTTTTATTTTTCAGAAACCTGGTTAGATATTGCACTGTTTAGGAACTAATCATCCAAAATACCATATCTTTAAATCAAAGGTTTTGGGTTAGAAAATAAGTGTAGATTTAAATTTTTGTGATTTAAGTCAAATTTTACTTTTGGATGATAGAGATTTTGACAAAAGGATGGATCTCACAGCTTCCGTCTACTCCTTGCTGGGAAGAGATGTATAGTTAAAGCGGATAAAAAAAGAGGTGGATGTAAAAGTCGTCATCATTCTGATCTTTAGGCAGAAAAAAGTTTAAGATGCAAAGTTTCACAAAGCATTTATCATTGTAGTACAAACCTAATCAAAATATTTTGGGGGATGTTGATAAAATTTATCAATATTTCATCTTAAAGGGACTGTTAGTGTAATTTCATGCAAAGATGGCATTGCCCAATTCACAACGGTACACTTGAAACCTTTATCTGATCACCAATATGGAAGATCGATGTTGTTCTAGGTTTAAAAGTGCTTAATTCTGATTATTCACATATGTTTATCTGCAGTTGAAATGCGCAAGTTATTGTAGTGAAAATTGAAAATTATCAGTTTTCAAAATTATGAACATTAATATATTCATACTTGATTAGACAAAGTTTAAGGGTACCGTTGTAAACTGGGCATTGTTTCTTTGCATGGAGGGTCACTCAAAATTACGCTTACAAGCCCTTTAANAGGGGGGGGTTAGTCAAAATTAAAGATAACTTCAAAATACATGGAATTCAACTTGAAGAAAAATGCCAATAACTTTGATTAAAATCTCAATTTTTTAACAGCTTGGATAAACATAGTAAAACTTTATATTCAAACCAATTACAAGAGTGAAGGATAAAATCAATATGTATGTTTATTGTTTATAGTTTACTTTCTCAGAATTATTTGCATAATCCAGTGTAATTTAATTTGAGACAGTTTGTCATGTACACTGTATATATATAATTTCTATTTGCACTTTTGAAAGATATCTGATGGATACAATTTGTCAATTAAATAAATAACAGAAGTTTATATTATTAAAAGACGACTGTTAATCTTCCACCTGTCAATACGTTTATCCGCTTTTTATTATATGTATTAATTTGATGGTTATTATAGATAACAAATACAATATTAGTTACAATTTTATCGTTGTAGAGTTTCCCTTTTTCTTAAAAAATAATTGGAATGACATGACATCTAATTTACTTATAAGCTCTTGGTGCAATTGTTATAACAAATATGGCTCCGTGGGCAAGTTTTACCGCTTAATGATTTTCAATCAAGAAACTACAACGTAAAATATCTCCCAAAGAATTAGTTTTAAGTTTATCTCAAAAAGATGATTTATATATAAGAGTTCACAAATAATGAGGTATTAAATTAAGAGCACACACGTCCAAATAAAATAGAAAGGGTTGTTCGAAAAATAAACCCGTTAAAAGTCAGTCCACAGCCTACAGGTGGTTTCTTAACTATTTTTTGTTGTACAATAAATTTCATTCTTCTTGTACAATGTGCAGAATTTGATTTTAAAACTTTTCAATTTTCCCAACATATTGAATTTAATTTCAGTGTATCGACTTATTTACATTTTTTCGAATAACATCTGTGCTATATAGTTTAGTGCCACAAGGTAGTTGGTCCGTGAAATTCAAGTAAACCTGAACATTTTTAAATTTGGCTGTTTTGATTATGCATATCATTCAGTCAAAAACTTGTGAGACAAATAAATGCGCGACCAATTTTAGTCTTTAATGTAATTTAAAAACTTATTTTCACGCATTGGATTGATATTTTTATTAGATCTAGTTTTTTTCTTTCTTAACTATATTAGGAGCAGGCTGCTTAGAATTGAAAAATTTTCTGAATCGAAGATTAGCAGACATTTTTTAGGAGATTTAAGAAACGTTATATATTAGAAAATTTCAAGATGGAATATATATATATATATATATATATATTATACACTACTTGGTTGTTAACGGGAAATGCCAGATCTGGTGCTTGGTTTCTACAGCCTAGGGTTTTATATCTGCCCGGAGTGTGAGCGTGTGTTTGTTAATTACCAACCTAAGGGATTCTAAACCTGTTGTTAAAGAAAACCTGAATACTGGATACTCGGGTTGTTTTGACTCAAGTTCTCATTGGAACCAGTGTTATCAGGAGAATGGATATGATCCTGTCAATAATCTAGTGAATGGTTGAATATGTTTCTGTGAATATGTGTGGTTTGCTCCCGTATCTATCTATCTATAGGACTGTAAAGGTATAAGGTCTACCTGGAGCCCACTCAGTCACCTGGCTCCACAGGTGCCGGTACATACACACACTTTATACGCCAGGAGTTTTTATCCACAATACACGGTATATAACCTTTATGTACATATAAACTAGTGTACATATCTTATCTATATTTGTGATTGCAGAACCAAGAATGTAAACCGCAGTTTAAGTATCAGTAGCTATGTGGTGGTGAAAGTGAAAATACGATTTTTTGTGAATACATTCAGAGAGAGATACTTAAAATCTTGGAATCCATTCTCGACACTGTGATAAAACTTGGTAAGTTTCAGCCGACAATAGACGCAGATTTTCTAGGAAAATTACTTTAAATTCTTAATCGACTATTGTCTATTGGACCACCTTCCCCTTTATTCTTCGTTTTAAATTGACCAATCCAACACATTTATCAGCGTCTCAATTGAAAGAATTATATTTTGACCAGTTATTAAAAGTTGAATGCAAGATCATGTTACAATTTTAAATAAACTATTCTAATCAATTAAAACTTTATTATTAGTTTACATTTCTCTTGATTAAACACCCTGATTTAAAGAAAGGAATTTTAACAAATAAAAATTGTAAAGGGAGGGAGAGAGGGAGTTCTGTCTTTTTAAACCAATCTAATTAGTAATGTCGTGTCATATAATTGTTAACTTTGGATCTTTTTATGGTTAAGGCTTTGATATTTTCACAAATGCAAAACACGTATACTAGCAAAACTAATAATATCATGTTTTCTTAGATATTGGTATTATAAAACACTTTCTACTCAAAATTATAAAATAACATATCAATTAGTATTGAGATATTTTCCTGCCCACTCCCCCTCTGTTGTTCCTAGGGTTTAAATGTAAAATAAAAAGTAATGAAAAATATTCTTATTCTGAAAGGGGCGATATGAAGAATAACTACCCCTGAAGAAATATTTAATATTTTCTCATTTATAATATACAGTTCATAGTCCCCCCCCCCACTTACCCCTTCCGTTATTACACCTTTGGACAGGGGGGTACCTCACCATATTGTTAGCCAATATTTCGGGTTAGCTCTGGTTATTGGTCAAGACATTTACTGGGCCGAGCGCCGCAAAGGTTTAGTACAGTAGACAATCCAGTAAAATATGAAGTTTTTCCTAAAAGATTATAGATAAGATAAGATAAGATATAGTTTATTGCTAAAAATACACATACAAGTTATAATGTTACAGACAAAAAATCTGCAACTATTTTTATATTGTTCACTATATTTATGTAATTATAGCAATTAGGTGGAGATTAGTTATTTGCTGTTTTGGGTATTATCCCCACCTAATTAATATTAAAACGTTTACAATATGATGAATATTACTAGGTTTTGAAAGTTTACAATAAGTCAGGGATTACTAGTTAAATTTAGAAAGACCGAGGTGCAGCAAAACAAAATAATTGATTTTTCAGTTTAAAGTTTAGTACGTTTAACAGAATAAGATTAAGCATGTACAAAAATCTACAAAGTTCTATATTCATTTTTTGCAAGAATAACAAAAGGCCGTTTATTGCACTTTAATTAAACTTTTTTTAAAGATACCTAACGAGGCACTTCTTTTTAAATCAATTGGCAGTTTATTCCATATCTTAAAAAGTGTATATGAGGGAAGATATCCGAATGAGCTTGTATTTTAAATGTCAATTTGATAGTTAAGAGATCTTTCAAAATTTACGAGTTTTTTAAAGTATTGTTAAATGAGATTAGTATTAACCATTTTTCTGACTTTATTAAACAATTATTTAAGCAGTTGTAAGTTTTTTTACTGAAGAGTTGGGCATTTTCAACAAGCTTTGTTACATTTTTTCAATTTTCAAAATCATTTTTTTGGTTAAAATGATTTCTTTCTCTAACACTGATCTTTAAGTTACACAAATATTAACTTTTTTGGTTTTTTGTTTTTACATTTATTCAACCATCATTTTTTACTTAGTAAGAGTAAAACATCATTTGTCCTTAATATGCAGAAGACTGTTACACTAAATTATCCGAGTCCAACTTGGGCTCTCATGTTTGTTTTATATAATGCTTGGTCATATTAGTCCATTCCATCCACTGAATGAGTTCAGAATTTGTTTCAACTGAAGCCAATCTTTAATAATAAAAAATTTTGAAGAAAAACTTTGATTTGGAAAAATGCTCATTAACCTTTAGTATAGAAAATAAGGTGTAAAGGACAAATGATTTTTACCTCTCTGCCGGATAACTTATGTATAGGACAAATGATTTTACCTCTGCCGGATAACTTATATATATATATGACAAATGTTTTAACCTCTCTGCCGGATAATTTATGTATAGGACAAATGATTTTACCTCTCTGCCAGATAACTTATGTATAGGACAAATGATTTTACCTCTCTGCCGGATAAGATATGTAAAGGACAAATGAATTTACCTCTCTGCCGGATAAGATATGTAAAGGACAAATGAATTTACCTCTCTGCCGAATACATACATATAGGACAAACGATTTTACCTCTCTGCCGGATAAAATTTGTATAGGACAAATGATTTTACCTCTGCCGGATAACATACATATAGGACAAATGATTTTACCTTTCTGCTGGATAACATATGTAAAGGACAAATGATTTTACCTCTCTGCCGAATACATACATATAGGACAAACGATTTTACCTCTCTGCCGGATAAAATTTGTATAGGACAAAATATTTTACCTCTGCCGGATCACATACATATAGGAAAAATGATTTTTCCTCCGCCGTATAACATACATATAGGACAAATGATTTTACCTCTCTGCCAGATAATATAGATATAGGACAAATGATTTTACCTCTTTGCCGGATAACATATGTATAGGACAAATGATTTTACCTCTCTGTCGGATAACATATGTATAGGACAAATGATTTTACCTCTGCCGGATAATATATGTTTAGGACAAATGATTTCACCTCTCTGTCGGATAACATACGTATAGGACAAATGATTTTACCTCTCTGCCGGATAACATACGTATAGGACAAATGAGTTTACCTCTCTTATAAATATAGTTATGGAGGGTTAGATATTCATTTTTTGTTCTCGTAAAATCTTAACAACCAGATGATACTGCATATAAGCTTGCTTAATAATATCGCTGCAGGCTTCTTCTGTGTACAGAACCACTCGCCCTTACTTCCAATACCACGCCCTTAATATATTAAACCACGCCCCTTTTTTTAAATCCACGTTCCTTCATTTATAGGAGATTTATTCTCTTAAGTTAATTCTGTAAATAACAGAAATTATAATTTGCCAAAGCATTCACACTTGAAATTAAAATATTTTTTCCTGATTAGTATTTAACCCTTCATTGCATGCAATAAATTCATGGTTTCTCTTTAGTGAAGGTAAAAATCTAATTTCCATGAGAGTAATCCATTAAAAGTTCCTTTATATAAATAAATAAATCTTCAAATATGAATAATCAACTCGTTCTCTTTTTTTTAAAAAAAAAAAGTTAATTACTCCTCTCTTATTCATTTTCGCAAATTGCACTTACATAAATATCCTAGCTGCAGCGTTCGGTGACCTATCTTATCCTATAGGCTATTATTCGGCGCCCTATCGCATCCTAGCTGTAGTGCTCAGTGCCCTATCGTATTCTAGCTGCAGCGCTCGGCTCTATATCTTATCCTAGCTTCAGCGCTCTATCACAGCTACGGTGTAGTGAGGTCTGCCACATGTCTTATCCTCCCCTACGTTTAATTGTGGAATTATTTTCTTACTCAGTTTGTAATAATATATGGGAAAATTTTTAGAACTTGTAAGGTATTGAGTCTTTGCCACAAACTCAAATTTTCAAATACCCATTTTGCAACTGAATGTCGTAGACTTTAGATATTTTTAAACTATAGATTCTGTTAGATCACAAAATATAGTTTTGAAATGTTAAAGGTTTACACCATCAGGCTGCAAAGATATAAGGATTAGAAAATTAGATTTTGTGGCAAAGCTCAATTCCTTCCATATTCTGAAGTTTAATGTGCATGTGTTAATAATTATAAACATGTTTTTTTCAGTTTTAATGTTAAAATGTAATTATTTTAAAAGATATAGATTTCTAGATATGCTTCAGCTCCTCTGATTATTTAAACTTCTGGTTGCATGGAGGTTGACTGGAGTGTTTATGAATTTTTTTAAATAATCTGAATTTATTCCAGTTTCTTTTTCGAGTATTTCATCATCAAAATGTGATTTAAAATATAGGAAAATCTTTTTCCTCCGGCTAAACAAAAGGCTTGAAATTTGCATTTATATCTTAATTTCAAATACGTGAACACTCCCTTTATTAGAAAATAATATTACTGCGTGGAATGGCATGGAGGGGGGGGGGGTATTGTTGCCAGTAAAATATATAAAATAACGGGAAGAAATAAAATCACCATAAAATTTAAGTCTTTAAACAGAATTGCTATGCCATATTGTATTATCTTATTACAAAGCGAAAGATTAAATTAAAAAATTGGCTGAACTTTTGCTTTTCTCCTTTGGATGAAGCTTTTTTTTGCTTCGTGGTTAATGATATTATTTTATTTGATTAAATAAACCGACAATAAACAGTATCCCTACAAAGTTAAATTTTCTGAGAAATAAGTCATCTTCATGTACAAAGTAGTAATCTCTGTTCGTCTGTTTGTACGTCAGATCATAACAAACCAATTAACCAATTTGACTCAAACTTTGATTGGGGCACTTGGTTCTTGGCGTTTGGTTAAAAATTCTTAGTTGAGTGTGTTGATTTTTTTGGGAACATTTAACTGGGTTCCTTATCTAGTTTTCATATAATTCATAAATTCATAAAAATAATGATTTTGCTAGAAAAATCATAAAAATTAAGACATTGTATCCTAGGTGAAGAATGGGGTCCAGAAAGTATCTGGTTCTGTTCCATTCTGTCTCCTGCGGTCAGAACGGTCCCAACCTAGGGGCAGACGAACAGGATATTGTCCTCATAGTTTATCTTATTCTAGATATTACTAATAACAAGGTAATCTAATTATTTTTTAAATTTACTCTCTTCCCCATACAAAGTGTTGTTTATCGTTGTTGAACGTTTAAAAAAATTTATTAGAATTTCCAAGGTTTTAAACTGTTGTTAAACTTTGCAATATCTTTTCAAAAAAAATGAAAAAAAATATCTTTGTTTAGGTCCAAAATAACATTTTTTAAACATTTGCTTTTTTCACACTATGTCAAATTTTAACACTGAAAAAATAAATAGGGAAAAAACGAGCCAACTGAGAGCACAGCTCTACCTATACATCGAGTAAACAGCAAATGTACCTGATAAGTGTCGGTTATTCTGATACTGTATCCAAATGTGTACACTGTACACTTTACATGAACAATGTACTTCACCAAAAATATATCTAATTATCGTAAGGAAAAATATTGAAATATTTGTTTTCCAAACAAAACTTAGTTCAAAGTAAAGTTGCTAGAACAATTTTTTTTAAATATTTTAGCCTAGAACTTAACATAACTTTACTTAAGTACTTAAACAAAATTCGGCTCCTCCAGTGGAAATTTACAGGGAAAACGTGGTTCTAATGTTGAAAATGGAAGAATGATTTCTTTTCTACGCAGACAACGCGTAACTCATTTGGGCTTCTGCCTCGGGGTTATTGTGAATTAAACACGCATAAATCTTGAAAAGACGACAATTAGTGTCCTATCTGTTATTTTAATTAATCTATGGAATAATTTACATTCACTACATTCATTGTGATGGGGGGGGGGGGGCACAATACACAATAGGGCAAATTAAGTTAGATAACATGGTACATTGCAACCATGTTCCACCCCTCAGTGCTCGGCTATGCATAGCCCAGTGCAATGTGCATATTCATAAAATAGATCTACAGACTAGAGAATGTGAGATGGGAGCATTGAACCAGGAGATGGGTTGGGTCCTAACTATCTATCTATCTTTTAAATATCAACCAATCTGGTTCTTCACTCCTTACATTGGCCTGAGCTGATTTCTTCATATAAGCCTAGGGGCGAGACTTTTTTCTCTATCTTGTGATATTAACCTCGCAAATTTTTCAATATTATAAAACAATTTTTATATAATTTGCTGTGAATACACTTTTATGATTAAACAGTAAACACAGAAAGAATCCAAGTTTTTATTTTGTTAGAATACGTTTTTAACATTTAGATTTTTTAGATTTTGACTGTTAAGAAGTTCCCAGTTCGACCCACAGGGCTGGATATAAATGAAAATATATTGTCAGAGGAGGTAAGATTTATGCGTAGGTGCCCCCCCAACACCTAGTTTAAATTATCTCCTGATTTGAACCCCGAAAAAAAAAACATTCTTAATTTTTTCTGATTCACTGAATTTAACATCTCGACTTTCCGATTCACATTCACACCGAATAGGAAAAATCAAGGTATGTTTACTCAATGTAGGCGGTGTTTACACATTTTTTTTGTTTTTTATTGTTTAATTCCACTGTACTACTAATCAACTGGTTTAAGCAACAACAACAAATCTAAACAAAAATATTCAAGGTCAACAAATTGGGGTAGTTTACTCCACCCAGGAAAGGTTAGATCGTTGTTTACTATCTTTGTTACTGTTTGAAAAAACTATTTTCTGTCACTGTGAAATGTGTACACAAAACCTATCCACCCAACATTTGGTAAACATACCTTGGAAATAATAAATAAAAGGATCAACAGATGCTTTTTATGATCCTTTTTTATTGAGAAAGCCCGTTTTAGTATTGATGCAAACTATTGGAACTGAAATAATAAAAAATATACATAAATATTAAACAGTTAACACACCAACCATTAATTTCAAACAGAAAGCTGTTTCTCTGATTTATGATTTCATAAAATGTTTTTATTTTAGAAAATTTATCATTTATTGAACTGAATCTGCTATTGTTTAAAGTTAGATGCATGCTGTATTTTACCACCAGGAATCCGGCAGGGCCGGGATTCGGGATTCTCACAGTTCTCGGCTCATTTTTTTTAATTAGAAAAATGTTTAGGTTTCATTTTGAAGATTAAAAATTACACTCTACGATTGACACTGGCAAGTGGCCACGGTACCCTTTAAAGCTTTGTCTAAGCAAAATGATGAAGATATCATTGTTTTCTATCTGAAAATTGATATTTTACTAATATAGTAGACTGGAGGATTATTACAGCAGTAAAAATAGACATGGATGTTTTTATTTCCAAGATGCAAAGAGGGTTACTGGAAAAGTGTAACCTCTTTATTTGTAAATGAGAGGATTTTTAATAACAAAACAATAGTCAGTCAACCATCATTCTATAGAAATTAGAAGTTTTTACCTTACTTTACACCAAAATACGTACGAAATTTTCGAAAGCATCGAGATTGAATTGAGTTTCTATTTTTGTCGCTGGAAATATTTTGTTACGTCCTCCAAATTCTAAATGCGATGTGGATCTTCATTGCATTGTAAATGTACAATGCACATTTTACATTCCTTAAATTCTTGAGACAATTGACCTTTACCATGGATATATTTCAATTGATAAATCATTATTTATCTCTTGTAAAAACTATTTTAACAATTTGTTAACTTGTTCTCTTGTTTCTAGGTTCGAACCGAGTATCAGATCACAGATTATGATATCAAGGAATGTCGGATTAAAATCTTCTTAAATTTTTTAAATCAAGTTTTTTAAAAGCCATATTTATTATGATGTTACAGTGATCGGTGTTTATATCAATACAATGAAGACGACTAAGTTGTTTTCAAATTTTCAAAGTTTACATGTAAGCAAAGAGAAGCTGTTACTTGACAACTTCTCTTTATTTACATGTTATGTTGCCGTTTGAAAGCGTGGTAAAAAACAAAATTAAAATGGAAAATCGTCTTCATTGTATTTATATATACGACGACGACTGTATTAAAATCGAGCATTTTTACTGGCCTGTGTTTAAAAAACAAAAATCCATATCTTCCAGTCCTTTTCAGAAATAAAAGATATCAATTATCTAAATATTACCCTGTATTCTGACTAAGCCAAAACCAACAAAGAAAAGTTATAAAATCTTGATTAAATGCAGTAAAAATAAATTAATTGTGTGTTAAAATGCCGGTGCTGCAATGTGGTTGTCTACCAAAACACATGTCTTGGTTTCTTCAAAGCTAATTATTTGTTTTACATAGTTTTACTAAGTACATCGTACATTAAAATGTACATGATTCAGAATATGAAGTGTATGTATACTCCTCTTAATTCTTGCATTTATTTTTAATTCCCAATTTATAATATTTTAAAAGTACGCAAATTGAATTTTATCTTTAGTTAGTTGCAGTGCTTAGGATCTGGATCCGTTGGATCCGGAAGATTTTGGCCTAATGGATCCGGATCCGCAAAAATATGCGGACTTTTTTACTTCTAAAATTCAAATCTGAGCGTTTGAAAAAGGAGAGATTATAAAATTTCCTCATATCTGGATGGTTCATTAAGTTGTAGGATAAAAAAGCGAGAAGAAAATAAAACAAAAATTCGCAAATTATTTTTTTGTTAATAAATTCAGTAAATCTTAAAGAAATGACCTGGATCCGGATCCATTTTTTCCAGTGTGGATCCAGGATCCGGATCCGCATCAAAATTAAATGGATATCCTCAGCACTGGTTAGATCCGACCTAAAGGAAACTGACCTGAACTTGTAATAGGTCTTAACATGGGTTATGTTAAGATGTATGGGTGGAGTTAGATTGGAGTAAGGCCTAGTTATAATTGGGAGTACATTTAAATCCGTAAACAAGTAGTGAACAATACTCTTAATTTTTACAAACTACTCGATAATTAGGTCGGTTGGTTTCCTCTATGTCAGTTTCCTCACAGTCCGTTTCAATAGCATTGTTATAATAATATTTGAGCCGACTGGTGTTTAGTCTGCTGGTAGTTTGAGTAGTGTGATCAAGGATCTAGATTCCTCCTGGAGAGATCAAGTTCCAGGTAGCTTCACGCTAGTCACAGACGGTCAACTTCATCTCAGGCAAACTCTCTTCCCAGAAGCTTACAGGTCAATTCATATCTATAAATATATAATTTTAACAGTGGAACATTTCTATTTCTTGTGCAGTATAAATTGAGTAAAATCACTATATTGGTTGGCTAAAATTAAACACTTAAATAATTATTATTATTTCATTTAAACGATTTTCACATAAACAATCTATTGACTCGACAAACATTTTAGATTTAACATTGTCATATTCAACATTTTACATATTGAAATTATTGAAATATTGTGGATTATTCCGATAGATTTAACAGATGTTTTAATTTTCACAGTACATATTCCTTTTCAGGATTTTTTTAGCTTAAAGAGAGTGTTCGCGAAAAACAAAAAAAAATCTAATATAATTTGACTTTACTCTGTCTTCCTAAAGGAAACCGATTTTTCAATATTAGAATTAGTTAACACTGTAATTGCAGAGATAAAGAAAATAGTACCAATCATGCAGTTCTAAATTTGAATAAATGTTTTTTTCTACAGCCCCTGTTTTTCTTCATTTTTTATGTTTTTTGTAATTTAACTATTTAACTGTTAAACTTTGTTTTATTTTATTTATTACAGGAAGAACATCACCCTCCCGGCCTATTACCAGAAATTTCACGATCTCAGAAAAGAATTTCAGTCTGTAGTCCCATCTTCAACAGCACAGGTATTTTAATAATATTTCAGTCTGTAGTCCCTGGTTTAACAGCACAGGTATTTTAATAATGATATGTTAGAAAAAGAGTTATTAAAGGGACTATAAGCGTAATTTCAAGTGACCCTCTATTCAAAGATGGAGATGCCCGATTCACAATGGTAAAAGCTTTGTCTGATCAAGTATGAATTAGATATTAATATTTAAAATTTTGAATGCTGATTATTTTCAATTGTGGTTTCACTACAAGCGTGAATTGTTTCTACTGCATGAAATCATATAGTTATTATCGAAAAAAACTTTTCAAGCTAAAAAAAAACTATATTACTTTCCACGTTGTGAACCGGGCATGCACATCTTTGCATTTAGGGTCACTTGAAATTAGGCTTACAATCCCTTTGATTTCAAGACAAAATATCCTTGTTTAAGTTCTTACATAAAAAAGCGGTATTTACATTATTATTTGAGGAAAATGATTATATTTTCTGGTAAAAAGGGGTATTTTGGTACTCCATTGAAATATATGATGACATTAAGTTAAAGGGGGAACTAATTTTAACCAAAATCAACAAATAAAGAGGAAGAAATGTTTAATGTCCATTTTCAGAGACAAAACAGAAACTAAAGAGAAAATCTTTCCCAGCATCTTTATTGAAAGACAGCAATCCATTATATTATTAAACACAATTTTTAAACAATGTGATCTTCTTAGGGAACATCTGGTCACAATATTAAACCAAAATATCGTCAGTAAATCGGTACCTGTGTTCCCGGTTTTCTTCCGAATTTAGAAACTCCATTTAACGAAGTAAAATTCCTCCGAACTGAGGAAAGAAAGTGTCCCATCTGAATTAAAGAATGTGCACGCTGTTTCCCTGCAATCGAGAAAGTGCAGCCACATTCCACACTAAAGATGCAGTTAGATTCATGTATTCAACCACAAAGCTAATTTCACATCCTTTTCATTCTTTGAAGATAAGATCATTCGAAATTCTAACTTACGTTTGTTGTAATTTCTGTATGAAAACCTGTATGATAGAAAACGGTTTCAAAAATGATATATTTAAGAGTGGATCTACCTTCTATAGTTGTGCTGTTAAAGGAACTGTTAAGCGTAGATTCGACTGACCTTTAATTGTAGAGTGGCGTGTCCGACTCTGAGCAGTACCGTTTAAACCTTTGACTGATCAAGGATCAAGGATGCCGGACTTGTCCTTATTAATCTAGAGAAACGCTTGTAATTGTTAAAAACTTGATTTGCAATCTTTTTTATATTTTAGATGTTTTGTGTTTAGTTCACGTTATGAAAATGATATGCTAGTGTACACGTCCACGTTGTACGACAATTCAAACACTATTCGGTAGATAAACACACAAAGTTCTCTGTCCTCTATGATCTGTCAATTTTTTAAAGGATACCGTTGTAAAACGGGCATTGGAGGGTTACTTGAAACTACTTTTACAGTTCCTTTAACAGAGATTAAAGAAAAACATGAATCTTTCCAAAAAAATCATCTTGAGAGAAAATTTAAATTGATTTAACACATCAAGAATGTTTGCATTATTGGAATGATGTTGCACATTCTCTTTAACACCTTTTTTTACTGTCATTATATTGTCATCTTAATGTCATTTTAAGAGACTCTATTCCAAAATTGATTATTTTTAGGAAAATCTGACAGTTGAGGAGATGGTTGGACTTCTTGGTCTTACTTCTAATTCATACCCTGATCTTGCTCTACGGTAATTGTACATTTTTGTTAACATCATTTCATATTTCTCTAGAGACCCCCGCCCACCCATCCACCCTTTAAACTTGATTTTAACATGAAAAAAGGGATACCTTTAGCTTTTTCAAACCTTCATATTTCCCTCTAAAAATTATGAATCTGTGAAAATGAAGAATTTAATTTGTTTAGCACTGTGAACAACATGGCTCGAATACTGCAGAAGTTTATCGCTGAGGGTCGGCAGCTACATGAGCCGGAAACCGTGCAGGTCAACCTACTCCAGGGAATCAGAACTAAAAATGAACAGGTATTGTTTTCTTATGAGTTTGATTTAAAAAAATCAGTAAAATTATCTGCTAGAACAATAGTTAAAAATATTTTGATATAAAAATTAAATTAAATAAGAGGTCCTTTAACATATATTATATTCTATTTCGATTTCATGAAATAATTATTAATATTAAAACGACTTTTTAATTTTCATGCCTCTGAACTTGAATTTAAAATTAAGTCTCTAGTTTAGTCAGTTCTAGTATTTAACCCCACGAAAATGTATTATCTTTGCTCAATTTGATTTAGATTGATTCATCCTAATGTAAGAGTAAAAGCTTTTAATAATTCATACAATCAAGGCCTCGATTGGAAATGTTAATTAAATTTGTAAATAATACAGACTTCATTGGATTACAAAAAAAAACAATTTCAATCAGATTGATTTTAAATTTTTTCCTCTCTCTTAGTTTGAAATGCCTCCTAGGGTTTTGTAATGGTTACAACTAAATTTTGCAAATGTTTCCGTTCAGAACCCTTTTTTAGAGATATAACAATGTTAAGTTACCAATTCCTAGGACGAAATTTAATAAGTTCAAGAGATTACTCAACTATATCTACTGTCGGTTCAAATCCTGAATCCCTGAATCAAATGATTAATGAATTGGAGAGTGAATCGGTATTTGAACCGGCAGTACTATGTAGTTCAACGACTTATCTAAACCTTTTAAATACGGTCTCAAAGGGTATTTCTTTTTTTTAAAGAGCAAAGACGACAATAAATTTGTTCTGTTTTTTACCAACGTAAAATGTTCAGGTTGACCCTAACTGTGTTGTACGAGCACGAGGTTTACCTTGGCAAGCATCAGATACAGATATTGCCAGGTTCTTCATAGGTCTAAATGTGGCACCAGGAGGTAAATTATATAAAAAATAGATTTCAGTTTTTTAATATTTTCTGAGAACGGAAAATTACGCAAATAGGTCTAAAGATTAGCTGGTAACTTTTATCGTAGAGGAAAATTCAAATGGCCTCCAATTTATAGATCAGCATGTCCGATTCACAGTTATAAAGGATGGGCAGGATCTCATTATTTGTATAGCTAAGAGTTAATTATTTTTTTCTGTGTGTTTTCTTTAAAATGAAGGTTGATGTTTATTTATTAGATTATAAAATGACTCGATCATTTTTACTGCAGAGACATGGAGGAAATTAACAGAAGGAACACTTTTTGATTAGAAAATCGACGTTATCCTCTTCATTGAATTGGAATTGGGCATACATTTAAAAATTGGAATTTAAAATGGAAGTTTTAAACTACATATTTATTGGTAACCGCTTTCTGGAGCTGTACAAAGAAAAATTGGGAAGGAATGTTAAGTCGGAATTCCAATTAATGACGATTAATGGTTAATTTTAATTGTTATTTTTATTTTACGTATTTAAAATTGCTTTATATTCATCATATTTAGTAAAGTTTACATCAAATACGCAGTTCAGTTTACATATAATACAGTACAGTTTACATCAAATTTAGTAAAGTTTACATCAAATACAGTACAGTGTACATCAAATACAGTACAATTTTCATAAAATACCGTTAAGTGTACATCAAATACAGTACTGTTTACATCAAATTAAGTAAAGTTTACATCAAATACAGTTTAGTTAACAGCAAGTACAGTACAGATTAAATCAAATACAATACAATTTACATCAAATACAGTACAGTTAAATTAATTTCAGTTCAGTTTACAATAAATACTGCGCAGTTTACATCAAATACAGTACAGTGTACATCAAATACAGTACAATGTATATCAAATACTGTATAGTGTACATCAAATACAGTACAGTGTATATAAAATTCAGTACAGTTCTCAATAAATTCAGTTCAGTTTACAATAAATACAGTATAGTGTACATTAAATACAGTTTAGTGTACAAATAATACAGTATAGTGTACATCAAATACAGTAGTGTACATAAAAATACAGTACAGTGTATATTGCAGGTGTAGCGCTGTGTTTATCTGCTCAGGGAAGAAGAAATGGGGAAGCTCTTGTGCTCTTCGAGTCATCAGCCCACAGGGACATGGCACTTAGGTAATTCAAATGGGATGGGATGGGATGGGATGGGATGGGATGGGATGGGATGGGATGGGATGGGATGGGATGGGATGGGATGGGATGGGATGGGATGGGGTGGGATGGGACGGGACGGGACTGGACGGGATTGGATTCTAAACAAATTCTATCTGAAATCTTTTGATTGAATTTGTATTTGTTTTGTATCAGAATTTAAATGGGGTTGAACGGGATGAGAAGTTATTAGATGAGTTGTGTGCTGTGGATAAGATAGGTTGAAAATTATTGAATAATTGATTAATAAATGTCCAGGAGACACAAGCATCATATTGGGAACCGGTATATTGAGGTGTACAAGGCGAGTGGAGAGGATTTCATTGAAATTGCTGGAGGTCAGTCATGTACAATTCTTTATACAACGTACAATATTAATTTGACTTTAAGACCGGCTAGACATGCAGTAGTGTTGAGAAAACTTTAGGATTGATCTGATACGAATGAGACATTGTTACGGTGCACTATTTTTAAATAAGACCGTAAAGTCGTTTTTAATAATCCACCAGTTGCAGTAGAAGAAACAATTTTTACACTTATTTGATAGCCTGGACAAAACATGTAAAAAAATTATTTTATAGACTAATTTGTTATTAAGGAAAATATAAAAGCCAAAGTAGAACCGTAGCATGAAACGTATATTTACCTTTTAAACAGAAGGCCGGGGCTGAAAAACCAGGAATGGGGAGGACTTGAAACTTCGATCCACTACTGGAGTCTTTAGGCCATCCCTGCAACTTATGATTTGATTTGATTTATTTCATTATCATCAATATCTTTGCTGTTTCTATAAATTTATTATTCGCAGATTTTCTATTATATCGTCTTCACAATTTAAAAAAAAAACCTCCAACAAGCGACCCATAGCTCAAAGAATTTGAATAAACCTGCGAGATTTTAAAATGAATTTTAATAGTTTATTTCCCATGATATAAGTTCATTATTTGTTTAACCTGTTGTATAAATGCAACTATTTTGTAGAATAGTATTTGTTTTTTTTTCATGTTGTCTAAGAATTGTAAATTTAAAAAAAACGTTTTTTTTGCTGACTGAAATAACAGGTAAAATATTGCGAACGAATCTTATTTAATGCTCTTATTTAAAAATTGTACACCGTAAAATGTCTAATTGGTATCAAATGAATTTTAAGTTTTTCTCTACAATACTGCACTTTCATCTCAGTTACCAGGTCTAGCTGGTCTCTCCCTTCAATACTACATTACAACACGTACATTGTACAATATGAATTGGACTTTCCACAATTTGTATTATCAATAATGTGTCCTTTGAAACATATTCAATACTTATTTTATGAACTTAATAAAACATGTGTACATTGTACAATATCATTTTGACTTCATGTACATTGTACAATTCTCATAACAGCATGATATATTAATTTAACTTAATACAACATTACAACATGTAAATTGTACAATATCAATTGGACTTTAATACAAGTTTCATTACTGATAATTTGCCCTTTTAACCATATTTGATATTCAATGTATACAAAACCAGTTTAACTTAATAAAACATGTACATTGTATATTGTACAATATCGATCTAAGTTAATACACATGTATTTACGTTGTACCATATCAATTAGATATCATGTACAATACATTGTACAACAAATTATTAATTTGACTTGTACAATACTACGCCTTTAGGGCGCTTCGTGTCCATCTTCTATCTGTTTGCGGATTTCATAATATTTTTAGCGCATTTCCAAAATTTTCCATAAATAAAAAACTTTAAAACACAAATTTATAAAAAATTTGATCATTCATAAACCTTTCCTGGGGTCACTTTAGGTTCCGCTCGAAATTTGGGTCCGATCTGTTTGGGTGTTTTGACGTTTGTTGGATACAAACAAACAAACAGACCCCCAAGCTAAATTTATATATACATGTCCAATTAAAAATAGCTAGAAGCTTATTTGCAAATAGAAACATTAGTTTATAAAACCTACTGTCTGGAGGGACATTTTTTTAATTTATATAACTAACAAATTTTATTTTAAAATCAAAATAAATAAAAACATGACTTTTAATAAAAATTATAGTATATATCTTTCTTGCTTCTTCCAAAATTTACTTCACCAGAAAAAAGAAAGTTTCACTGAATGAACAGATTTTTTTTAATATAACTGAAAAATTTAATTAATTGATTTTCAAAAGTTTTTTGACAAGCTGTGACGGATAACAGCTGTTTTGTTTGATCGGTAAATATATTTATCTACAAAAAATGTAGTTAAACATTAAATAAATATTTCGATTTCCTATAAATCAATATTGAAAATAATGAAAATAATTGTATTTAAAATATATATAAAGAAAAAGGGGTATACAGGAATTGTCCCAGAGGTGGCTTGGTTTTTTTTGACATTCAAGGAGAGAGGGGGGGGGGACCCTTCATGGAAATCATAGCTTTTACTTTTCCTGAGAGGGTGCTTGCTTAGCCTCTCCCCTGAAAAGAATTATTTTCTTACTTTATTTAAAATAGACACTACAAAGTAAATTTTAAATGTCGTCTTCAACAAGATGTATTTCGCTAAATCTTTATTTTTAAAGGCTAGATGATTATAACACGTTTTACTTATTAAGATTACAGTGGCAGTTTCAAGGGGGGGGCGCGTCCGCACTGTGTGAAAAATAGGGGCGCAAGAAGAGGGAGCATGCACCCACTGTAGCCCTTTAATTTTGGTTAAAAAAGTAAAATTTCCTGAAGCGCCACTTAATTTCTCAAAATGTAGATTTTTTACAAAAATTCAAATTTGGATAACACTTCATCTCCCTCCCGCCCCAGGCTTGTCATGGTTTTGACATAAAAATTACCAAATTATCTGTTAAAAAATCGCAATAATTCAATTATTTTAATTACTTCATCGACATTTTTTTTGACATTGGAGTCTTTTGAAGAAATATGAAGAAATTACAATTTAAATTCAAATTATAAAGATTTTTCAAGAAATATGCACCCTTGATATTTATTAAACAAATATATGCTTTAACCAAAGCAAAGCCTAAGTATGAAAGATATAAAGTTATCTAATATAGATATAAATAATTTTGGACAAGACGCAGAGGCGGAAGTAACCGAATGTCGTCTTTAAATCAAACTTTGCGATTAAGAAAACATAAGCTATGTTGAACAATTCGACATTTTTGATTGCACAGATTAAAGGATCAAAGATTCAAGTTTAAGTTTTGTTAGTTTGGTTTGTTTAGATTTCCGATCATAACTCAGGAAACCCTTGACTGATTTACCTCAAATTTTTTTATAGGGAAAAATAGCTATCGCATCGTAATTTACGACAAGTGCGGGTAAACGGGGGGAGTAACTATGAGTACTCTGGGCAACGCTGGGTTCTCAAGTTAGATTTTCAAGTATAAGGCTATGCTGTTATATTTTCTCCTATATATTGATTATGTTAGAATTGGTCTAAAATATGGTAATTTATTGTATATGTTGTGTATACAGGTGTATACACTGTATACTGAGTATAGGGTCCACTTTAATCTATTCAGTGTCACACGAGCCTTCAATCCTGCCACGGAAACTATTTAGTTAATTCAAGGCGCTCAACGCCCAGTTCTATTTTGTTATTTAGTAGTATACATAACATTCATCAAACATTGTTATAGATAAAAAATAAAAACAAAGGCTCAGATTCATTTTCTGTAACTTGCAATAATTATGTGTAACAATAGCAGCATTCAGGGGCGGATACAGGGGGGCGGGGGATATTCGCCCCCCCCCCCCCCGCTGAATTTGGTATTTTTTGTTCCTATTTTCAGATTAGCTTCTCAATAGCATGCTTAAGGGAAAGAAACCCTAGTGCAAAACAGGAAAATTATCTGTCTTAATAAACTATAATGTGTGAAAAGTTAAAAATCTAGTTTTTTAGTTCCCCCCCTAGTCTCTTCACGTCTTATCACATCCCTCCTTATGTTTTGTACTGGTTCCTCAGCAGTCCTGAAATACTGTATGTTGTGTCATATGATGATCCAGCGTGTAATGTATATTAACAAACATAAGACAGTGTTCTAACTTTATATACATAGAGTTGGGTAAACTCACTCCTCGTTCACAATCCGGTATTTCGAGTAGTCCGGCCATAGCTTAGTGAGTTACAACTTCAGTTTAGCATTCTCCTTCAGACGGAGGAGCCTTGTATATTAGACTAATGTAGATAAACCATTTACTTTTGTTGCTGAAGAACATACTATTGAAAAAAAGGGATTTGGGGGTGTTGCACGGATCTATCGTTGGCTTTGAATTAATCTTTTACATTTTACTAATTAATATAATTGGATTTTACAGATAAATGTTAAGCTGTGAATATATCTGGGTTTAAGATTGTGTATTTAAGTACATGAATCTACAGATTGACGATATAGAGAAAAGATAAGTAAGAATAAACAGGGACTGATAAGAAAATCAATTCTCTTCCAACAGTTCCCCTCAACACTAAACACTTGTGAACACTCCACACCGCAAATTAATCAATTTAAAGACACCGGCAAATCAATTTATTGATCTTTGCCTTCCATCAAATCAATCAGTGATTCGATTGATTTAAGAAAACTCTAATTGAGTTCTAAACTGACAGTTTAAACAGCAGCATCAAGATTTACTGATCAATTGGAAGAAAATCTAGAACTTTTTTATTAATTGATTGATCATGGCATTCCCTGGGAGCGGTGGTCCCCAGTACGTGGTTCCTCCCATGTTTTCTATTCCAAATGTTACTTGGAGTTCTTCTCCAGGAGCAAACTCTGTAGGGAAGTTTCCAGCACCTAGATCTGTTATGAGAATATGTAAGTTTATATATCCTAGATCTGTTATGAGAATATGTAAGATTATATATCCTTGATCCTTGATCTGTTATGAGAATATGTAAGTTTATATCCTAGATCCTAGATCTGTTATGAGAATATTTAAGTTTATATATCCTAGATCCTAGATCTGTTATGAGAATATGTAAGTTTATATCCTAGATCCTTGATCTGTTATAAGAATATGTAAGTTTATATATCCTAGATCCTTGATCTGTTATGAGAATATGTAAGTTTATATCCTGGATCTGTTATGAGAATATGTAAGTTTATATATCCTAGATCCTAGATCTTTTATGAGAATATGTAAGTTTATATCCTAGATCTGTTATGAGAATATGTAAGTTTATATATCCTAGATCCTTGATCTGTTATGAGAATATGTAAGTTTATATCCTGGATCTGTTATGAGAATATGTAAGTTTATATCCTAGATCCTAGATCTGTTATGAGAATATGTAAGTATATATCCTAGATCCTAGATCTGTTATGAGAATATGTAAGTTTATATCCTAGATCCTTGATCTGTTATGAGAATATGCAAGTTTATATCCCAGATCCTAATTATCTAGCATGGTCTAGTTAAAAACACATAAATACGAATGGATAATAAATAATTTTTTAACATATGAAGAGTAAAGATTTCTAATATTGAAAGAACAATATTTCATTAAAAAAGTATTCTTAATTTTTCAATAAATGTGTGTGTACTAAAAAATAAACACATATTGAAAGTGAAATTATTTGAAACCTAACTCTTATCTTTTGATTAATTCTTTTTAAGTTCTTTATTTTTTAAAGATAATTATAAATGTTTAGTTCATTGATTTGAATAACGAAAATATTCTTTATTTATTAAGTAAGAATTAGCATTATAATCTATAAAACCGAAAAATGTAAATTTTGATGCTAAAAAAGGAATGTTTGCATCATTATTTTTCTTTTGTTCGTTGAAATCTAACTTTGCAACTCGTCCATTGCATGGGGGGCTTAGAACTCTCCTGTTCTTAAAAAATATCCTGTGCACGTCACTGACGTATATATTTGTTTAAGGTAACAATACCGAGGCTCAAGAGTTCCTAAGTCGGGGAGGTCAGGTTATAATCAGGATGAGAGGTCTACCTTACGACTGCACTACCAAACAAGTGGTCAGTACCTTGTCTACAAACCCTAGCCCTCCCCTAGAATGTTCTCTTTTCAAGCTAAAATATTGTTTTTTACCGATTTTCCCCCAATCAAGATAATGATAGAAATGGCAACTTCGAAACTATTTTTATTTTAAAATACTAGTTTTAAATGGCTTCTCTTTTCTTCAGAAGGACATTATAATTACTTAAAAGTTCAGTCCAACTAAAGAATTCGGGGCCCCGCCCCCCTTTTAATTTTTTTCATTTTTCTTAAGAATTTATATAAGTGTTTACCTATCCACACTTAAATTGTCTGGATTAATGCTAGTGCAAGTAAAAATAATATAATTTTCAGCGTTTCCTTATTTTTGAACACGTGTCCACTCATCAGTCGTGAAGTGCAGAATCAGATCTTAAAGTATTAAATAAAATAATTTTTACAGATTGAATTTTTCGACGGTGGTGAAGACCCCTGCAGTGTACTGGATAAGGACCATGGTGTACTATTCGTTAAGAAACCTGATGGAAGGGCTACTGGAGATGCATTCGTTCTTTTTAAGTGAGTTTCAGATTTTTAAAACATATACTTGCAGAGAAATTAGGAGAGATTGAAAAAATACTTACGCCCCCTCCCCCATGAAAAAGTGTAAAAGCGCAATGAAATTGAAATAAATACTTTTTTTAATGGGGCAGAGCCAATGAGGCCCCTACATTTTTAAGGAGAGATTGGGGGAAGAACCCCCGGGATGTATTTAAGGTGGTTCCTGGTTAACCGGTTACATCCGATCTCGGATCCAGAAAGCTAGATATTGCGGATTTAAATGAAATTGAACATTTTATTTCGTCGATACTTTCATTGTATTTAAGCTTTTTCATTAATTTTTTTTTTCAAATTATACCATCATACTTTCTCGGATACTATGCTGCAAGGTTTTTGTTGCATATATTGTGCAATTCATGTTTGCATTTCAGGGTTACGCAAATATTTTTGCAGTTAATTTTGTGATTGAGGGACAGTGAAGTTGACGCTTTATTTGCGTAGTTATAAAAGATTGAATAGTGTATTCACTGCTGACGCTTTATTTGCGTAAAGGAAAAAGAGTGTCTTAAAGGATTTGTTTAATTATTTATTATTATTATTATTACATTAATTGCTACTGCTATTGCTATTGCTATTGTTACTGTTATTGTTATTGTAGTGAGGAGGGAGACGGTGAGAAGGCGTTGTCCAAGCACAAGGAATTGATTGGTTCAAGGTATATCGAACTCTTCAGATCTACCACAGCTGAAGTGCAGCAGGTCATAATAAATTAGAAATTTTTAAGATAAGTTTGTTTTTAAATTATGTTTCCTTAAGGGGGGGGGAATGGTGGAAAATTATTCCTTTCAACATGGGGTGATTTTGATGCTTCGTTTGTCGGCCAAATGTTTTTGTTCATAACGAATATATTCACATAATTAATGATACTAATTAAGGCTGTGAGGGGTAAAAACTTTAATTTTCCTAATCACATTCTAAATCAGTTGTCAATGAATTGAAAAAATCCTCTTTTTGGGGGGTTTTTTGCTGGAATATTGTAAACCTATCTGACAAGGATAAAATAAAGTATATTTGATTAGGCTCTCCTTTTATTCAATTATTTCATAAGTCTTAAAATCTATTTTAATCATTTTTATATTTGCAGGTTTTAAATAGATCAATAGATCCTATTGGAGGTAAAAGTTCAACACCTCTACTCCCTATATCCAACTCCCACTCCCCCTCCCCTCTACTCCCTGGACTCCCTCCGCAACCTATGCCAGTCATTCCCCAGCAGATGATTACCACCGGAACCAAAAAGGTTGGTTACAATTTTTAAGTTAAAGAGATCGTTCCCTAAATTTTATAATTTTCTATTCTATTTTCTATTTTATAATTGTCGAATCAAATTATTTGTGTCAAATATAAAATATGGAACCCTAAATGTATCCAGAAGAAATTCTGTGTCTACATTTTTTGGAATGTATAATCTATCCAAAGAAATACCAGATTTTAGCAAGGAATAGTTTATAAAAATATGTTTTCTAGGTATTTTGTCTTTTTTCAAGAGTCCTGTTAAGCTTTTAAAGGGACTGTTCACGAATTTCTAACAATTCGCAATTTTATAGTGATAGTACTCCGTTTCAAAATTTGTAAACTTTACCTTAGAAGTCACCGTGACCGCATCAAATTATTTGTAAGATCGTTCTAATATGAAATACCATATTTGAACAATGCATGTTTGATTAATGAATAATAATATCCGGTACTTTAAATATATATTAAAATATTAAAGGGAGTGCCCTGCAAGGGTCGGGTGTTCAGGTGAAAGTACAGTATTGGAGAATATAAAATTAGGATTCATCAAAGAACAAAAATTATAATCAACTTTTTTTTTAAATATTTCGCGGAAGTGTACTCTTTTCATGTTTAAAGGGAGTGACCGGCTATGTAAGGTAGTTGAACTGAGTATGCATGTTGTGGAAAACTTCTTTCGGATTCATTGGAGACATTAAACTTTTTAAAGATCCTGAGTTTGAGCGGAATTTGACGTTCTAAACTTCTACTTTGGGGGTGGATACGTTTTCAGAATTAGTTTTTATTAATTATTAAATAACGACGACATTAAATGTAAAAAACTGGATAGGAAACGACATAATGACCTTAAAACTGGATAGGACACAATAAAATGTCCTTAAACAGGATAGAAGATGACATAATGACCTTTAAACTGGTTAGGAGTCTAGTAGGACACGACAAAATGTCTTTTGAACGAAATAGGACACAACAAAATGTCCTAACTATCAACACTCGAAAATGTTTTTAAAAAGTTACTTAATACTCCCTGATGACTTTTAATGCAGGATGAAAAGCAAAAAAAATATAAAACTCATATTTAATGCATAAACATCAAACCTAATCAATAATATTATTTCAAAGAAACTCAACTAAAATGCATTGCAATAACGCAAAAATTACGGATTTGGAAATATCTCGAGAAAACGTTGTATTTAAAGTTCTATGGACTAAAGATCAAGATTCCATAAGATATCCATCATTTTCTCTTTGAAATTTATTATTTTCATTTGCGCATTCCTGCTTCAGAAGCTATGGAAAAAATCGTCAAAGTGAACAATTTTCTTGATAGAAAAACCATTATTGATCGGAGAAAGGTTTTAAGGGAACTCTTGTGAATCACCAATTTTTAAATGAAGGGTCTCTTTAAATTGCATGTTCATCCCCTTTAAGGAACTTTTATATTTCCAGGACTGTATCCGACTCCGTGGATTACCCTATGAAGCACAGGTAAGACATTTTAAATAAAACTGGAGCCGTCGGAGAGGGCCATCTATAAAACTTAATTGGGGTTTTCCGTTAAAAATATGTTATGAAACTATTGTGTACTTTATCATTACTTAATTCTTTTCGTGGTAAATTTTATTTATGACGTGCTATAAAGTGATCATCGTGCTATAAAGTTAAATTATATAGCACCGTGCTTTAAAATAATTAATTATCGTGCTATGAAGTAAAGTAAACTGTTTAACATTTAACATTTATTATAGTAACTTGCTTTTTCTAGAAAGTTTTTTTTTTCTATTTGAATTAAAATAAAAATGAAATTAACTTTAAATTTTTTTCTGCTTTGTTAAAAACTGATTAATTCTAGAAATAACCATTGCATCAAGAAAATTACACAAACATTTCATAAAATTACCTATAAAACGAAGTTTTTGGCACGACGAGGGGTAATTAAATTTTTTATCTTAAATTTTCTCTTTGCACCGCGAACTAAAATAATAGTGTTATATATAGTTACTAGCCTTAGAGGGCGCTTCGCGCCCATCTTCTAAATTAGTTGTGAACATGTTCTCTTTGTGTACATCGTAAAACAAAACAAAAATAATTCGCGGATTTTCACAAAAAATTTCGTGGATTTTCAAAATTTTCAAAAATTTAATGAAGATCGAATTTTGATGGAGACAAATATTTGAAATTTTGATCATTCATAAACCTTCCCTGTGGTCCCTAGATGTCCCACAAAAAATTTGGGCCCGATCGGTTCAGCCGTTTTGACGTTTATTGGATACAAACAGACAGACAGACAGACAAGCCAAATTTATATATAGTTATTTTAAGAAATATATTATGAAAAGATGTTTTGACTGTACTCTGATGTAAAGCGATCCGAATCAGCCTTTCGAGAAAACGATTAATAAACTCTTGAATAAAGTACGAAGAAAGTACATGTAAAACGTAAACAAAATTTATTTCGCATATTTTTTAATATGGAAATTGCTTAAAATGATTCGTTTTTTAGGTTGAGCATATCCTGGAGTTTCTGGGTGAATACGCCAGGAATATTATAGTTCAAGGGGTTCACATGGTATTTAACGCTCAGGTAAAGTCTACCCTTTATTTAGAAGATGATATTTTATTTTGAAGATTTATCAAAAAATATGTGCGACAGTTTTCATTTTATAGATTCTAACAAATGTTTCTTCTATTCTTTTTTTTATGAAGCTTTGAAACATACAAATACAGTGGGGACCCATAAAACTGTGGAATGTTAAGGTTTTAGTTAAGTAATCTTTTGTGCATTTGTTGTTGTTACTTGTTATGAATTAGATATTTTTACAAGTAGCCTGAAATCTAAAATCAATTTTAGACTTAAATAGCATAAATTTGTTAGTATTAATGAGTTGTTTTTAACACATTCTTTTTCTCAACTAAGCTTAAAATTTAAAAAAAAATTTCGTGATCCTATGATGATCCGACTTACATTTAATTGTGTGCAATCGGAATATCGATCCTTATGGTAGCACTGTCAACTACATACTGACGAGATCTGCAGTTTCTGCAAAATAGAATGTACATCCGACCTACAGCTGTCGTAGGTCCGATGTTGCAGTAGGTCCAAAGTATCGTAGGTCGGAAATTCCGTAGAACCGAAGTAACATTATCATTATAACTTCTAACGATCGTCTTTCTATTCCTCAGTCTTATGGATAAATAAGATAAGGGTTTCCATTTGACATGTTACATGGATCTGGTTTATTAAACGTTATAAGAACAAGTTCAACTTGGATCTAAGGCTAAATGATGATAAAACAACTAATTAGGAATATTTTTAATCAGTTTTAATATTTTAATGGACGATTTATTTATAATGATATTTTTAAATTTTTGGAAATAAAATCTGCTAAATGTTTACTTTGTTCACGTGGGAGGGGGGNCAGGGGAAGCAACATTTTAACTTTCTTAGGTACCCTAAAGCCTTCACTCCCAGACTACGCCCCTGAGCCCCTTAATATATATTTTTTACTTCAGGGGCAGCCGAGTGGAGAAGCGTTTATTCAGATGGATTGCGAGAACAGCTCTCACAGCGCCGCCACGAACCGACACAACAGATACATGGTCATTGGGAAGAAGCAGCGCTACATTGAGGTTCTACAGTGCAGCGGCGAGGACATGTCAATGGTTCTAACCGGCGGCCTCGCTGCGCCAACCTCGCCTGCTAAACCTCCTCTTCTATCTCCGGGTATGTTACAAATTCCTATGCCTGCCCACCTCCCTCCTATTTCTAGTGAGCAACTACAACTGAGTTCCCTCCTCTACCCGCCTAATATGCTCTTCAATGGACTCCTCCCCCCTCCAACCCAAGCTCCACAAATCCAAGGTTGGGAGCAGTTCCTACTCCCACAGCTCCAACAACAGCAAAGCCAGTATTTTATGGTACCTGGAGCTGGTCTTCAGCGTCTAGTTACTCCGTCCTACCAGTTTCAACCCCAGTATATCCTTCCACCTCCTTCCTTCGGTGCATCTAGGCCTTCCTTCCCTCCATCCTTCTCCCTCTCCCTTCCTCCTCCTCCTACAGTCCAACATACTGCCAAGAGAACCCATGATCAGGCATTCCAATCCCAGGTTGACCCTCTTCCGGCTAAACGTCCTCCGGTCATGTATACACCAACCTCCACGGGACCTGGAGCCATTGGTCTTTTACCAAACCCAACCCATCCTCCTTTACCCTATACTCAGTTGTAGTTTGCTCAATTCCCCAGGGAGAATATAGTTACCCCTTGCTTGGACACATCTTTCTGTAGTTTTTAATATTATTTTGTTTGTGAATCTTCCATTCATGTAACCAAGTGCAATTATTAAAATAGTGAAATATTGTAAATTTACAATTTTAGAATTGCTTTGTGGTTTTAAATACGTGCATTTATTTAAACTTTAGAAAGTGCCTTAGCAACTTTATTAACATATGAAATAAGCGTAAACAAAATTTGCATTTTTCTCCACACTTTGTGTTGGTTAAACAGTTAGGTAATTTATAAATAAGAATCACACGCATTCAATATATATATATATACAGTTTATACACGCCTACGCATTGGGTTGGATAACCATGGATGTATATTCACTGGTTGCATGCCTTGCTAGGGAGCAAGTCCATAGTTGGGGAAGGGTTAGTAATATGGCCGATTTCTCCCCCCCCCCCCGGCCCCCCAAACATAGGGTCTAAACACATTCCGCTCAATACGAGTACACTTATCATACTTTAAATTTTCGTCACAAACTAGTGTTTAAATTTTTTACATTTTTGTATTTTTTACCGTATTTTCATAATAGTGTTTTTTGTTAAAAGTTTTGTCCAAACCAAATATTGGCTTGAATTTTGTCCTATAAAAATCACAAATCAAATGGTATTATTTTTGTGTACTGTACAGAGTACACTGGAGTCGGTACATACTATAGTTGCAAGATTTGGTTTGGATTTCTCTTTTAATCAGCTGTTTTTATCCCATGTATTGGATACTTAATGTATCATGGATGATTATATTTGTTGCTGCCCTGCATATCTGTATTTAGTCCTGCCAGGCATTAATGTTAGATTATTTTGGAATTATAAATAATCTAATCTAACATTTTTATTTTGGCAATATATAATTTTTCACATAAAAAAGTGGTTAAACGATTATATTATTAATAACACGCTAGTTTTAACTAATTATTGAACATAAATTTGTCTTAAACATATCAGGATATATTACTAACACTTGAATGTAGGTTTATTTTCTTAGTTTAAAATATGGTGGATTTTTTTATATTTTTTATACTTTTATACATGTCTAGGTGGGTGGGTGTGGTTATGGTTCGAGAATTTGATATTGTTGATCATCATTTAGAAATCAACTTTTCCATCCGACAATCAAACTTTTTTTCTTTGTTTAATATTGATCCATTAGTATTATTTTCATGAAACTGTCTGCTCTTTTTTCAAAGATTTAACTATTAAATTGGTCCCAGTTCTAATGAATATGATAATGAGTAAAGTCTAAATTGGCTTGATCGAGAACTTAAAACTGAAGCTTTTGTGGCTTTTTCGTTAAAAAATTGACTTAAGATGGTTTTCAAATTGGACTTTTTGCGGTCTCAATTATTTTTTTTAACTAAAAACTTTTCTTAAATTTTGTTTTGTTGCGCATGTTTAGTTTTTAACACCCAGTATTATTTTATATTATTATCATGGTGTGAAGTTCATTTCAAAATTAATTTAATATTTTGCAACTTGAAATGGTAAATGGACAGTTTTATGGAAAAATACTGCATTCCATTAGAAGGATCATAGTTTTTATAAATTATAAATACAACAAATTTTAAAATTAAAACAATATCCAACTAGTTTTAAAAACAATTGAGTGGAAACTATAAATGCTCAAACGCATTAATTTCTCCTTATTTTTCGATTCGCAAAACGGATTTTTTTATCTAAAAAATCCCCTTTTTAAATTTTTTTCGCATTTAATACCCAAACTGGCCACGCCCACACAGCAAATCCCTTTTGAGATTCACCTTATTTTTACACTAAGGAACACTGGGCCTGAATACCAGTAAAATTTGTTCCTTTTCTAAATGTATTGTTCCAGTTTATGAAAATATATATTTAAACTAAAACGGTTTTTTGAATTTTGATTGACGGAAAATTGTATTTAATGTTGGGTTTTAAAGAACCTGGTAAATGTTTATCAGTGCATGGCAGCAGTTAACCAAAAGCATAACTGGAAACCTTCGGAACAGCTAGTCTGTCGAAGAAAAAAGACGATAATGTTCCGACGATTTCCAGTTCGGTTGAAGGTTTACTGTACTGTACAACTGTACTGACAAATGTTTACCAGGATTAATGTTATGAAAATGTGGTGCATGGAAGTTCTTTATTGGAATATCCAGGATTGGTTTGTGTAGGGATATAGATTTAAATATCCAGGAATATGGTTGCAACTGATAAGATCTAAATATCCAAAATTGGTTTGTGCAGGGCAAAGATCTAAATATCCAGTTTGAGTTGAGTGGATATAAATCAGGAATGAAAGAAGAGAAACTGGATATTTAGGTCTGGTTTATACAAACTAGATCATGATATCCAGATGGTATGGATCATGATATCCAGATATTTTTGTCCAGTTAAGATCAAAATATCCAGGGGTGGGTTGAAAAAAATTAGAAATAGGATATCCATATTTTTTCCTGGTTTGGATGGATATCCTGATCTGATTCAACTGGATATCGGGAATGTATGTTTGGATATTCTGGGCAGCGGATGGATATCTCTGTCTACATTATTAACATCAGGTATCCTTCGAAGTTTTACTAACATAATAGATAAAAATGGTTTAATCTCCCTCCCTCCTGCCCACTATACCTTGCATGATATAATTTAAGTAACCCAGTCTCAAACATGATTTTCAACTGGATTTCAATATTTGATTGAAGGCTGTTATAAGAACTCATTTAACTTGTTCAAGATATTATTATTAATAAGATAATTCAAATACTTGATAGGTTGGTAATGTTGCCAAGATTAAGTGGACTGTGAACATTTTTTATCAAAATAGGTTTTTCCAATTTTCTGAGATTATTTAAGGAAAATACAATACAACCTCTCCTTCAATTTTTTTCTACCCAGACAATTTTTCTAACTAATGGTTTGGTTTAGTATTTTAGAATGTTTTAGGTGTAACTTTTAAGAAAAATCTAATTATTTGATATGGTTTGGACTGCACCGGAGAAACTTGGTTTGGTTTGGGAGTAATTTTTAAACCTTGTTAAAAATTGCTAAAATATTTTCTAAATATATTTGTTCAGGTCATCCTCCCATCATGTCAACCCATCCTTCCTATCCCTTCAATCCAATCCATCTTTCTAGTTTACCTCCTCATCCTCCTCATACCAGATCCACCTTCCCTCCAACCTTCCCCGCCCACCTCCTATACTGGCCATATCCTTCCCCGCCCCTCTCTCCTAATGGGTACTATCCCATGGGTCATTTGCCCGCCTCATTGCTGACCACGCCCCTGGCTTCCCCGCCACCTACTCCAGCTCAACTCTCAGCAGTAGAAAACTTAGACTCCAACATTAAGCTGGTAAGTTTTTGTCAGATATCTTTGAATTTTTTTTTTAATATTATGGGGAGATGTAAGATATTGTAATAAAATATTTTTACTCATTTAAATCTTTGTTGTCATTTTTTGGTAACTGAAATAGGAAGACGACCTTTAAGCAATCTTAAAGTATTTAATGTTTAAATGAAAAATAAAAGTACCGGTATGTAGCTTGAAAATCATTTTATTTAGGGAATCATGGCCCATAGGTCTGTGTAGTGTGTACTTTGCACAATTCTTGTTATTCAAGTTCATTGAACTATTTATAAACAAAACAATAATCTTCCTATTCTTCAGTTTAAAGGGTCTCGCTGAAGCAAATTTTGACTTTACCATGAATGTATGACTGAGTATTTTATCCGATTATTTAAAATTCAAGGTTTTCTGCTCTCAAGAGGCTTTAAAAAAACCGAGAAAGTTTAGAAAATTGAAAGCTCTCAAAAGGATTTAATTACACTTAGGGAAATGTTGTCTCAGACGGCGTTTTTTTTATCGTTTGTTAACAAAAGCCAAGTTTTTCATCGTTACATTTTACATGTTCTAACAAAATCAACATTTGACATGATTTAATTAAAGCAATTTTGTACAGAATAAAACTCAAAATAAAGAATAACGTTGCATATCAAAGCCCCCCAAAAAAAATCTATATGTTCTTAATAGTATAAAAAGAACACTCAGCACTGCACAAGTCATGATGGTCTTTTTGTAATTTTTCAGGTCTGAAGGTTTATCAATCTTTTGAGATGAAATAACTTTTTTTACTTAGTCCTCTTCAATTTTATAGATTTATAATATCATTAATTTAGATTGGAGCTGAAACTTCTATACCTCCTCCCTCAGCAGAGAAATCAGATTATTTCATCAAACCTACACCAGTCTTTATTCATTAAAACAAGTCTACTTTTATCCACCGTTCCCTCTTGAAAATTAGAGAACAAAATGGCTGGATTGTTACTAGTTCTATTATTATCATTGTCCCCCTCTATAAGAGGGGGGATTTTAATAGACATTGAACAGGATTAGCAAAAAGACGAGTCCACATGTTTAACGAGTTCCCCTGTATACAGAAGAAAGACGAGTCCACATGTTTAACGAGTCCCCCTGTATACAGAAGAAAGACGAGCCTACATGTTAACGAGTCCCCCTGTATACAGAAGAAAGACGAGCCTACATGTTTAACGAGTCCCCCTGTATACAGAAGAAAGACGAGCCTACATGTTTAACGAGTCCCCCTGTATACAGAATAAACCTTAAGACAGGCCTAACCGATGCCTCAATTTGGCTTGCCAACAATAATCTCAAGCTTGCAATACATATCTCTAGTTGAGCTTAAACAATATTCATTCTCTTTGAGGCGCCTCAAAAAACCCAGTTTTTTTAAATAACTTCCTCCAGAGGAAAAAGTTATTTTTGTTTAAAAAATTTCAATATTTAGAATAGTATTATCTAGAAAATTTCTACCGCTTTGTTTTTTTATGATTTTTCAACCATTTTAGCTTAAAGATTTTCATCAGCGATAAAGTTTTTATGTCAATGTAATATTAACTTTGTTTATAATGACAGTAAATGTATAAAATTAAAATTTCTTGAATACTATTTAGTTCTCTTTTTTCCTGTTCTCAATTCATTGCATTGTTACACATATTTTGTTAATCATCGATTTTATATTATTATTCTATTTTTACATTTTGTAATTATTGCACCTTTGTTCCTCGATATATGTGATAAATATGAACTGTATTGTTACCATCTATTCCCCCCTTTATCAATAGGAAGTCAAATAATTCACATTTTCTAAAAATGTGATTTTTAAAATTTATCCAGTTTTTTCTATTATTTGTTAAATGTTATGAATTCCAATATATCACAAATACATCTTACTTTTGTTGATTTCTGCATTTACCTATATCTTTAAAAATATGACTGAAAGATATTTTATAATTACAATATCCATAGCGGCATTTATAATATTAAAAAAAGAACTGAGACGTCAATCATATCACCTTTAGCTGGTTATCACGAAATATTAATAACAAATGTAAAAATGAAAAAATCTCTCGTGGTTGTACTCTGCAAACATTTAATCTTAAATTTATAAGTGCTCACATTGAATATTGAGAGAACCGAGGTCAAGCATTCAAGATTAACGATACTCGAGAAAAAAACGACCTTCTTGTTTCATCATGTTTGTAAGATCAGCATTATGAATTTTATTTTATAAAAAGATCAAATTCAACCTTTAAATCGGGTTGTACTTAGTTTATCCTTTATCCGGAAAAAGGTTATCCCTTACATTTATCTTATTCTTAACTTAGTAAATTCACTTCAGAGTTCAGAAGCGGAAGTATGGCGTCCCTAAACCACGTGGTATTATTTTATTTCTGTATTGGGATATTCTTTGACCGTGTTAACAACAGCAGAAGATAATGCATTTATTTTACATTTGCAATCCTTCCCTAGTAACCGGTAATGTTGCATCGTCTATACGCAACATCCTCTATACTGAACTTCCGACCTACTAACTTTCTGACCTATTGCTATATCCGACCTACGACAGCTGTAGGTCGGTTACACATTTTATTTTTTTAATCCGACCTACAGGCATGATTGAGTTCTAGTCATGTGCATGGAGTGAGGTCAGATGTACATATCTATTTGTAGGTCGGATATACTCTTTTTGTAGGTC